AGATTTACATATAAGACCTGATGGGCCATAAAACTCAGAAGAAAACATAAGGAAGAAGCTCCTTAACACTGATTTTTTTTGGCTATAATACTGAAAGCGCAAGCAATAAAAGCAAAAATAAGAAGCAAGACATCAAAATAGAAAACCTTTGCGCAGCAAAGAAACAAGAAACAAAATGAAAAGATTACAAAAAGAATGAGAAAATTTAATCACAAGCCATATATACAAGCAATATACAAAATTATATTGTATATTTATATACTTCTGAATACTTATTTATATAAGTATATGGTATACTATATATGAATTATATTATTGATATATATTATGTAAAACATATGTATATATTTCTTTAGGTTAAAATGCTTAGTGAATTGAATAGATTCTTGCCAATTAAATACATTTCAAAATGCAGTCCTCTCTTAAGTGGATAATTTGTTTTGGATAACTAAATACTTGTATTCTGAGCAAGTTAGAGAGATGAGTGTGTGTGTGTGTATGTGTGTGTGTGTTTCTCTTGGTGGGATTGAAGGGTGGTCTTCAATAGAAGAAATACAAGGAATGAACTGGGTAGGAAAATGTGTTATCAGGGCAACTTTATTCCAGGTTTCTGAGTCCCTGAGGACTAAACAACAAATTCTGTTGAAGAAATTTTAGGAAATACAAGAGACACAAATAAATATAATGCCACATGAGAGTATTCCAGAGTAAAAGCTAATTGAGAAAGATGGTAATCATTTAGTGTATATAGCAATGGCTGTATAACAAGAGATTGCATTTCATGCAGCTCGTTTTCCAGATGGGCTCCTCACCCCTAACTCTCTAAAGAATGAAAATCCAGTTGTCATTTTAATGTTATAGTAGACTTCCAGCATAGATTCTTATCTCTTTTGCATGCCAAATGATCTGTCTTGTGTCCATTAAAACATGATAGCAAATCTTTATATTAGTATCATGGATGAAAAGAGTATTATTAACATTGTCATTTTCCAATGAGAAACCTTGAGAGATGTTATATAGAACTTGCCTAAATATTCCCAAGGAACATGTAATGGAATAGTTTCTAAGAAATAGTCTCATTTCTAAGATCAGGTTCTTAGTACTTTGAAGTTCTAGTTGTGTCTCTAGAGACTAGAATACCTGTCCTGTGTGGAGGCAGGTCAGAGTGTGGAGGTTGGATCCTGGAGGACTTTATGATGCTCTTGTAACCGTAGCATTTTGATTATTTTTCCTGGACCATCTTGAGTTACAGGGAAACCTCTGTAGTTTTCTTTGAATGGGAATTCAAGTTCATAGAACCACAAAAAAGGATCCTTTCCTGTTCCTGATCATTGAAACTGGCGTGTTTTCCCCATGGACTTTTAGGGAAGGCCAGGCTCAGCTGTCTCCCTTCCAGGTATGTTGTGGCCTAACCTTATGCTTTGGGAGAGAACCCTCAGCTTTTATCAGCACTGCCAGAGGCCAGTCACGCTTCTCCTCCTTGATGCTTTTGTTAATACTATTAGCACCTGATATTTGTGATCTTGAGACACAGATGATCTATCCCTCTATAGAATAGGTGTGCATAGATTCCTTGAAATTGTTAGTAATTAATTTAGTAATGGACCCTTCACACAAATCCCTCAATCCTTATGTAATAAACATCCTGTATAGTTTGGGTCTGTGCTAATTTTTAAATGTTATTGATGAGTAAACTGAGCTTTTGAGAAGTAATAATTTGATTCAGGTTACCTAATCGGTAAGTGCTGAGCTGACATAGAAAACCATATCCGTGTGTCCACTGATCTCCACTGCCCATTTGGTGAATCGATCTTCTTGAACATTTCACTTAATGGGTCCAGTTTTTGTTAAATCATGTTTGGGCTCATGAATGGATCTCTCCTCATCCACCTAAATGTTTGTTCAAAATTAATCTTACATATTTGAAAACTGAACTGTTGAGAGCTGACCTTCACCTAGACTATAAGCATAGATTCCCTATTTGCAACTGCTCATGCATTCCCAGGAGTGCCAACTGTCGAGCTGACTCTTATGAGTGGTCTTTTTTTTTTTAATATTTATTTATTTTTACACAAGAACCGAGGTACAGGCCAGATGCGCGGGAGGGTGACAGGATTCCCTGGAGACAGAGCGGGGAATAGAACAGGCAGACTGATGAAATACACTGCTGAGGGGAGCAGCGGGAGAGACAGGAGAGGTCTGCCACACCATGTGGGATTCTCGCCCGCCAGCCGGGAATGAACTCGCGCTGCAGAGGCTGCGGACAGCTTCACAGTGCGGCGCTCAACTGCCTGCACCACCAGGGAGGCCCTCAAGAGTGGTCTTGACCACTGGTCTTTAGTGTTTTGTCAGGATTCAGGGCTTCATCTGTACGCTTACTCATAAAGTTGAGCGAAAACATTTTAAAGTGAGAAAAAATAATATCCTATTACCTCCTTGTTTTCAGTCTTCATGCTACCAGCTCCCAGAAGAAAAATAATTGGAGGATGAAGGGCATCTTTGTAATGAAAGCCAGCTAAGAGGCTTGAGGGGAGGAGTAATCACTTCCCCTCCTGTGTCTCATACAGTGTTTCTGCGATGGCTTGTGAAGACTGTTAAGTGAATTGTGGAGAGCACTCTGGAGCTCTTAATTGTTCCTTCGTATCTTCTGCATATTGCAAGTATCAAAAAGTGCCAATAATGGAATTACTAAAACTTCAATTCACCCTCTGGGTGCTAAAGGTGCGACTGGCAATGTTAGTGACTTTACAATGAAATATTGTCTTTTAGACACTTCTTTTTCCACCTGGAGCATGATTAAGCAAATCACTTCACGAATGAATGAACAATTCATTCACTAGATATATGTATATGGCAATCTGTGTACACTGAGAGGGGAATACAATTTCATATAACTAATGGTGCTATATGACTCATTCAATAGACAGACTGGATCCACTGAGACGGGAATCAAGTTTACTTTCTGTGCCTGAAACTTCATATTTTTACATACTACATACAGGTATTGATGTCTACAATGGGCAGAATGTTATAAGCACTCGAGATAATGTAGGTAAAATATCCCAGTATGAAGAAGTGCAGCAGTGTCTATTATAATAGATTAGACTGACTCTTGCTTTCATCTTCTAAGCACCAAGGGCATATCAGTCTTTATTTCTCCATCTGCAATATTGGATTATTGAACAATTAGTTTTCTTTTGTTATTTGATCAGCATTTGCTTTATTGGCACTAACAGTTTTGGAGTTTGGCATCAATTAATTTTGTAACATTATGATTTTTACCAATATGAATCATGTCCTATTTTTGCTTTGAAAGTCAAAATCCAATAACCTTTATTCTAATTTGATTTTTAGACTTCATGGAAAATGTAATTCTGCCTCAATTCAACATTGGAGACATGCATTTTAGGAAACAATCTTAAGATGAATCAAAATGTTTGAACATAGTTTAATTTTATGCTGCAACTTTTTTAGAGTTAGAAAATACAATTGGAACCAAAATCTTTTTCTCTTCCTATTCCTTTTAATATATTGAAACTGAAGTGCAGGGCAATGAAGTTACTTATCTCAAGTCACATGCAGAGTTAGTTGTAGATAAAGTGTTAAAACTGAAGCTCCTGATGATTTCTTCTCTTTTTCAGCTAAATCATGCTTATAGTCATTGGTAGTACTAGTTAATAATGTTACTTTCTGTAGACGTGCACATCCTTATTGTCCAATAGATATCCATGGTTTACTTTACTTCCAAGACTTTGGTTTCCTCATTTGTAAAACTTAGAAGGCAAAAGAGGAAAGAAACCATATGATTTTTTATTCTGTATACTTTTTTAGCTCTGCGCATCTCTGAGGAGTAATGGATTTATTATGTGGGCAAGAATTTCAAATGGCAAAAACCCTTCAGGTCTTCCTATTTTCTCTTTTGCTTTATTTGTGAGCATGTTCAGAATTAAATTGTATGCCCAATTACAGTAAATGTTTTAGCCTAGGTTATTATTACAGAAGTCTGCTGCATTCTAGATTGTACCTGGCAACCTCATAGCTTGGGTTGCTATTCCATATTAACAGCACTACCACAGAATTGCTTTTTTTTTTTTCATTTTTGTCTTTGTTTTGGTTTCACTTATGATAAAACTAAGTCCCAGAAAAGTGATTTGTCCAAATTTGTCATAGACAGAAATAGGTTTCATATACATGTCTCGCTCAAGTGCTCAAATGCCTCTTTCTCTTTCCCTGCATTGTTATTAACTGTAGTTGGTAAAACATGTTCTCCACACCAACTTAAAGGTCTTCATTTCTGTGTGGTTTTGTAATTGTAAGTATCCTCAGATGCTTTTGACAAATAGATGCCACTTGGAGAATAAATAAGAAAAAATACAATTAGGTGCCTTGCATGTGCAGTGTGGGTCACACAGCTCAGGCTTATTGAAGATGTCTGCTCTGGACCTCCCTTCTGTGCACAGTCTTGTCACCATGTAACTCATGGTCCCCTGAGGCAAGTTCTATCAGTCTTCTCTCCCGAGGAAGGGCTGGTCAGTAGTTCAAAGTGTGAACTTTGGAGTCAGACATTTTGGCTTCAGATTCTTGCTTAATCACTTACTGTTAATTCTCCTCACTCATTTCTACCTTATTTCTGACACAGCAGTGTGCCATGGGAGTACGACATCCTACAAATTTAGGTAATGCCAATTTTAAATGTGATGATGGGTGTTGGACGTTTTGCGTAGTCTCTGGAATGAGGGTATCACACATTTAACTCATAGGATTGGTAACCTCAAACTATTGCCTGGGTGGAGCTCCATGAAGAACAACAATTATCTGGTTCAGTTCTTTGCCTGAGAAGCCACTCTGGTGTCCATCAATTACAGAATAGCCAGCCACCCTTCACACCGCCTACGTGATACTCTTTTGTAATTGCTTCAGCTTGATTGAGAAGTTTAAACGTGATCCTCTTTTATGCACCCTTCTAATTATCTCCTTCCTCGCGTTTATTGTCTGGACAGAGGACAAGATCTGGACATCCATTCAGCACAACAACACAGAGCTGACCCGTGTGCGGGGCGCCAACTCTGAGAAGCCCTACACCATGGCCTTGGACTACCGCGGCACCACGGAGCAGGTGGAAGCTGTGATCGACCGCTCGGAGCACTGCGAGCAGGAGGTGGTCTACCACTGCCGGAGGTCCCGCCTGCTCAACACGCCAGGTAGGACCCAGCCCCACCCTGGCCACTCTGCCCGGACACCTGCCTGGGAACTGAGAGAGGTCCCCAGACAGAGTGGTGAGGAGACGAGTGTTCTCCAGTAAGTGGGGGAGAGAGGAGTGGTCTGCAGCTATAGTTTATCAATGTGTGGTGGAGAGAAACGTGGTCAGGCGAGCACTCATGGTCTGGTAGAACTGGGTCTGATGCTCACAGAGTGACCCAGGCTGAGCTCTGTAGCCTTTCCCGATGTTCTCCTCATCCTCAAAAAATGGAATGAGGACCACTCGCTCCTGCAAGAGTTGTGAGAATGAAAAGTTTCTTGAGAATGATGTCAGTTGAAGAGAGCCTTGGAGCTAGACCTAGAAATTGTTGAGGTGGGGCGTGGTGTTTCTGGCAGAAGGAATAGCATGCCAGAAATCACCAAAGATCTGGCACATTCTACAAAGAGCACTGGGTTATGTCGGGGGCAGAAGAGGCTGAGGGAGCAACATTCAGTGAGGAGGCCAGCAATGTGGTCAGGGACACCCCTTGTGTTACCCCAAGAGTGGCGAACTCAATGGAAATGTTTCTGTTTTAAAAAATAGTTTGCTTTTAGGAAAAAAAAATAGATTAACCTAATTTATTTTTCCTTAGTGGTTATTTTTAGAATGAATGGTTGCTTAGGTTATTACCATGCTTGCAAAAGTCTTACAGGACTGCTTGCTAAAACCGCAGAGGACTTTTTATAAAATGTTGGAAAGGCTTTATCAAAGTGTACATAGGTTGGGGAGAGAGCCATTTTTGTGAATTTGTTTCATAGCCGAAAAAATTATTGAGATTCACTGGGGTGTGTACTAGCCAAGAAAGGATGTCAGGATCTTTAGCCACAAGAAACTTCCAATCCACTGCTTGGAAGTCAGGATTTCTGCAAGCCTTGAGAAAATTAGACAATGAAACATCAACAAAAGAAGATAGGAGCCTAACTAAATGTAACACACCGCCTCACCGATCTGGAATCTTTAGGGAAAGCGTTGTTCCATAGAAGTGAATTTTCCAGATAACTGTCACTTATCTCTTTAAGCACCAAAAATCCTTTCAAAGAATTTTTACCTGTTTGAAATGAAAATCTTTCTCAAATGGATTACATGCTTCCTTGCTTTCTTAAACAGAGAATTCGGAACATAAAGTGTAACCTTTTCTTGATGACTCAGGATATTCATTGTGAAAATCAATTATTGTACCCTCCTCAGAGTCAGCCAAGCTTGCAGGGCCGATTAGATCTGAGGCTCCACTTGGTGTTCCTTTTCCCTGAGTCTTCGGATGACTCTGGCTTGAGAGGTTTATGTTTGTATTTATTCCTCCTTCTCACCCTCCTCGCTATCAAGTCTGCATGTGTCACTCACAGCTCACGCCCAAGTACCTGCCTTTAGAAACCAGCGGGCCCTCTGTGTTGTATTGATTCTCATTTTCTCAGGGTTGGGTTTGGTAGAATTTTAGGAAAAAAATGGGATTATGCCCAGGTGGACTGTGGAATTGTCTTTGGCATGTGCCTGCTGTGTTACCAGTGTGACTACGTGATTACCTTTGAAATCGAGTGCCTTTTTTCTACCTCAACTGTCATGAATTCTTGGAGCATATTGGAGTGGGAAGGGCATGCTTTGGGAACAGAACATGTTGAAAGTGAACATGAGGCACTTTGCCTCTTTGTCGTGAATGTGAGCTTGTGCAGGTTGCTAAATTCCCACAGTTTTAACTTCACCCTCTGAAAAATTGACATGAAAATTCTGAACAAGAAGACTGGTGTTAGGAGTAAAGGAGAAAAGTTGTCTGAGTTCTTTGTACCATTCCTGTTAGTCATTTGGAATTCAGCAACGCGAGTATCTTTCATTTTTTGCCTTGATGGCAGCTTCCCTCCTAGCAGCAAAGGCCCAGAATTTGTGCTGAAGTGGGAAACAAGCTCAGTGGGGCATATTACTTCCATTTTAACAGTTTATATAGGGAAATTATAATAATTATAGCTCATACATGCAGTCTTACCATGCAGAGAAGACCAAGGTTACATTTAGGAGTGTGCTCTTCCAGGCATTTTCTATGTGTGTATTCGTGAAATCACACTATCTGTATGTTAGGGCGTGTATGTGCTCATTACTCCTATTCCTCTTTGAGCCCAATGAGATTGATGAAGAAGGACAGTGGCATGTAAATACAGTATCTACTTTCTTTCGGCGTTTTGGTGAGCTGGCTTGGAGAAAGTAACATGAACCAAAGGTCAAGGAGCGCCAATCTTTGAGTTCTACCTGTGGCATTACTTGAAGATGAGGTGGGAGTTGTAGCCAGAGCCCCGCAGAGAGGTGAACTCAGCCCCATGCCCCTCAGTACAGAGCAGAGCCCTCTGGACCAGCCTCAGGTGTGCTGACGTCATGGAAGTCGGGGTAGAGACAATGAAACACACCTTGATGGTCACGTGACTCTGAAAGCCCGTGCGCTGTGTTAGTGCAGGCTGCTGTGACAGAATGCCACAGACTGGCTGGGTTATAAAGCACTGAGATTTATTTCTTATTGTTCTGGAGTCTGGAAGTCCTTGATCACGATGCCAGCATGGTCAGGTCCTGACAGGACCCCTCTTCCATGTCACAAGGATCTTGCTTCCTGTCATAGCCTCACATGGTGGAAGGAGAAAGATAGTGCTTTCTGGGGTTCCTTTAATAAGAATACTAACCCCACTTCTGAAGATGCTGACCTCATAATATCATACATTCACTTTGGGGTTCAACATAGGATACATTTGGGGTGACACTCGGTTCACACATTTGGTACAAGCACATACATACGGGGACTTTTCCTGATCTCCTTAACTATTGAATTCCCCCTTATCTATGGGAAGGTCAGGAATGAAGGATGGATGCCATCTTCTTACCTCCCTGCCAGTCTGGAAGAGCTAAGCAAGTTTCCCATACCTGCTGAAGCTGGGGCCCCACTGTGATACATTTGATTACCTGTATTTGTCACACATACAATGTACAGACATCTTCCCATATCTGTATAGATGACTTTACACTGTAATATATTTTAACAAGACTCTTTCATGATGTGGATGTGCTGCAATGGATATGCAAAATTAACAAATGTCCTATTTTGGATACTTAGATGGTTCCTTCCCTTTTATTTTTTTTATCATTATACATGTACAAGATCATTGTACATATAACAAAACTGATTACAGACTTAGGATAAATCCCATGAGGTGCCATTGCCAAGGCAAAAAAATGTGTATTTTTAAGGCTTTTGCCATGTTGATTTCTCTTATGTGTCAAGGTTACATCAATTTATATTCTCAACTGCATTGTGGGAGTAAAGGCCCCTTTCTTAGCAAATATCATCTCATTTTAACTTTGGCAATCTAATAAATGTGGGGGCTAGGGTGGTCAAAGAAATTAGGATATTGTTTGTTAATTTAAAAATAATGCGTAGACTGGTTCCCATAACCTATTGCAGGAAGGTGCTGGTAATCAGGGTTAGTAGACTCTATAAAATATTACAAGTTGTGACTACTGTGGATTCACGCCAATAAGAAGTTAATGTGGATGATGCTTTTTTTGCTATAGATTCTCCTCTGTGCTGTACACAATATGTAATAAAGGAAAGAGATAAAAGAGGTGCTCAAATGGCCACCCATGACTAAGCATTTCTCATATGTGAAGTTGGGGATGGGGTGGGGAGTGGGGTGTTATGCCAGCATATCTGTAATCCTAACAGAAATCTGTATAACCAGAGTTTTATCCCAGTCTAGTCTATTTCATAGGAAATAGCAGCTCAGAGAGAGGACGATGCTTTATTAATGTCACATAGCTGGGGAGTGGAGACAGATCCAGTCCACATACCCAGCTTCCCCTGAAGTCAAACAAGGATGCTGTTTCTGATATACCGGGCAAAGAACGAAAGTATGAAAAGTTACAAGGAAATGGAGTAGTCAGGGAACCATGAATTTCTATGATTGTCCTTATTTTGTAAGAAAATGTTGGCGAAGAGAGAAGCAGCAGAGGCATCTCTGTAAGCTGTGTGCTGGGGGGTGGGGGTGGTAGCCGGAATCAGGAAAGCCCTAGGCAGCTTCAGTGGGTTTGCAGTGTCCTCACCTGAAGGCAAGAACTTCCGTGGATGACACACCCCTTCACAGGAGGCCCTGTGGAGCCCCACCATGGAGGAGTCCTCTGGGGAGAGCCTCATTCTGTCTGCTCTTTGCTTTGCATTACTTTTATTCATTCAGCAGCAGCTGAAGGAGATGGAGAGAGAAGCAGACAGGATAAGGTCGGGCCTGGCTCACCACTGTGTCTTTTTCATTCAGTTAGTGACTGAACCATGACACTGTCATTTTCTGACAGTTTCCTCTGATATTCTTCCCCAGAGCTCAGTTGATGAGTGCCAGCCAATGGAATGTGTCATCTGTCTCTTTAACTGAAGGTTTATGCTAGAAATTCAGAAGAAAGGATCAGGATTCCGAGGAAGGGTATCTTTGCTATTCCCCAGTATCTTTGCTATTCCCTGGCATCTTTGCAGTGGTCTTCACTATGCTTGCTACTCCCTACCCTGAGCTGAAAGCAGGGCTCAAGACTCTGTGCTACAGAGCAGCTTCCCACACAGGACTGTCAGTGCTCAGCAGCACCTGGTCTCCAGCAGGAGGAAAGGCGCATTTGTCCTCAGGGTCAAGGACTGCCCTGTTTGCATCCAGGCCTTTTCTATGTGTCAGCACCTCATGGGAACATGCCTGAGGCTGAGGACCTGAGCATAGCATGTAATGAGCTTATGGAACAAAATAAAACCCATCTCAGGAAACATTTACACAGAGGACGGAAAAAGAAATACTGTGCCCACACATTGGAAGATGCTTTAATCATATGGCTAGTTAGCTCTGTGAGCCACAAGAAGGAAGACTCAGAGGGGCATGGAAAGGTGATCTCCAGGGAAGCAGAGTCCCCTGTCCCTGCTGGCAATGGGGATGGAAGCCCTGCCTCTGCCCGAGTTCTCTT